TGATCTGGACCTTTAAGAAAATGGCAAGGAAGAAGACCCAAGGTGTAGCTGAGGTCAGTGGAATTACTGGAAGGGTCACATGGTGAAATCGTAGAAGCTTGTGCAAAGGCCAAGAGTCAGGGCACAGCTCATAATGCAGGGCTAAGAGTGAAGCTGGGAGTAGAGTGCTGGGAGGTGAGGTTAGTAAGGAAGCCAGGAGCTAGAGGGTGGGGGCATATCACGGAGTTTGGATTTATTTCTAAAGTAGGATGGAGGAGTCATGTGATAGGGTGATTTTGGATGCTAGCTGTGTGAGCAGATAGACTGGAGGGCCTTGGAGTAGAAGCAGGGAGGTGTGTTAAAGAAGCTGTTACAGGAAGTGATGTATGAAGATTAAAATGAAAGTGTGTAGAAAAGATGGTGTCAGGAAACTGGGTACCCCCATCGGTCATCTCTGAAATAAACCTCTTTGTCACTTCCTTCGTATGGTGCAGCATTGTGTGTTAATGTGCTGGACAGCAAGGTCCATTTGAACAACAGGGTCGGCGGTTCAAGCTCACCGGGTCACTATGAGTCAGAACCAATTCGACAGTACTTAACAACAACAACCCCCACTTCTCTGTCCCCTTCCCCTTGGTCTTCTCCTTCTCTCTTGACTTTGAACACTAACCCCTTCTGTTCCTGCCCAACCTCTGTACCTGGTTCTTTACTCCTGACTTTCCAGGATGAGTTTTCCTAGTTACTAGGTGAGCAGGGTTTCAGGGTGACTCCATTCCATTTCTCCCAGGTGGTTGTGGCAACGAACATTGCGGAGACATCCCTCACCATTGAGGGCATCATCTACGTGCTAGATCCAGGATTTTGTAAACAAAAGAGCTATAACCCCCGCACAGGCATGGAGTCTCTGACCGTCACACCCTGCAGCAAGGTCAGCCTGGGGCTCTCAGGGAGCAGGGTCTCCATTGGGAGGAGGGTTAGGCTGAATCACCCTACAGAGAAGGTGCAGTTCAGAGGTGGAGTAAAGGTTTCTTAGAGAATGAGAAATAGCCAGTCCATATTCTCTCAGATTTTGTGCAAAAATACTTCCGCCTCTCTTTTCCTTGTCCCAAGTTGTCGACAGACTTGTCTTTCCCTTCTTCACAGGCCTCAGCCAATCAGCGAGCTGGCCGAGCAGGGCGCGTGGCTGCAGGGAAGTGTTTCCGCCTGTATACCGCCTGGGCCTATCAACACGAACTTGAGGAAACAACAGTGCCTGAGATCCAGAGGACCAGCCTGGGCAATGTTGTGTTGCTGCTCAAGAGCTTAGGTGATTGGGGTGCCCCAGTCCTCCTGAGACAGGTGGGAGGTGGGGCCATCAGGTCTTTGTGAAGGCATTTTCTCACCTCTCACATCTTTCTGTAGGGATCCATGACCTAATGCACTTTGATTTCCTGGACCCTCCACCGTATGAGACCCTACTGCTAGCTTTGGAGCAACTGTATGCCCTGGGAGCCCTCAACCACCTTGGGGAACTCACCACGGTGAGATAGGAGGGCCACATGATGAGTAGGGAACAAGATGAAGAGGTCAGGAGTGGCTGTAATGGTGGAGGGAAACCTGAGGAAGGACTGGCCTAACTGTCTCTCTCTTTCCTCTTAGTCTGGTCGGAAGATGGCAGAGCTGCCAGTGGACCCCATGCTATCTAAAATGATCTTGGCTTCTGAAAAGTAAGCTCCTTCCCCATTCCCAACCCTTAGCCCACAAACTGGCCAGGGCTCTTTCTCTCTCTGGATTTTCTGCCTCTAATAATAAGTTATTAGAGACAGAACTCTTAAAACCCCTTCTGAAGCCCACAAGAGTCCTGCCTGGATCATGATATCAAATGAGGAAGATTGATAGACACAGAAAATTCAGGGGCACAAAAGAATGTGCAAGATTTTCTGTCTGTGAGGGGTGCTGAGTGAAGGCTGGCTTTGAACTCTCCTCAATGCATGTAGTACACACCTTCCCTATTGCAGAAGCCACATCCCCCACTCCGTGGATCACTCCTGTACCATTGTTTGATCTATAGCTCTTCCTGACCCTCAGTTGCCAATGCTACCAATACCAAAATTTGTCACTATCCCAACCCACCTGAAGAAACATTCTGCACACAATGATCATTTTTTTTTTTTTGAAGATACACAGATGTTACAACCTTGCTTGCTGGAAGCGGACTTAAAAGTACTTACTGATTAAGATCAAAGACTGCTTCCTTGGGATGAACTGCACTTCAGTATAAAGAAAACAAAAAATCCTCACCTTTGGACCAATAAGTAACATCATGATAAGAAAAGATTGAAGGTTATCCAAGACTTCATTTTGCTTGGATCCACAGTCAACAGTCATGGAAGCAACAGTCAGGAAATCAAATGGAACATTAGGCAAATCTGCTGCACAAGTCCTCTTTAAAGTGTTTAAGAGCAAAGATGTCAGTTTGAAGATTAAGGTGCACCTGACCCAAGCTGTGATATTTTCAATACCTCATATACATGTGAAGGAGCTCTGGTAGCGTAGTGGTTACAAATCGGGCTGCGAACCTCAGGGACAGCAGTTCGAAACTACCAGCTGCTCCGCAGGAGGAAGATGAGGCTTTCTGCTCCCGTAAAGATTCATAGCCTTGGAAATCCTGTACAGGGTTGCTGTGAGTCGGAACCGACTCCATGGCACATAACAACAACAACAACATAATACATGTGAAAGTTGGACAATAAATAAGGAAGAGCATAGACAAATCGATGCATTTGAATTATGGTGTTGGAGAAGGCTGTTGCAGGTACCACCGACTACCAGAATAATATCTTGTAAGAAGTACTGCCAGAATGCTCCATTGAAACCAGGATGATGAGACTTTGTTTCTCGTACTTCAGACTTGTTATCAGGAGGGACCAGTCCCTGGAAAAGGACATCATGCTTAAAAAAGTGGAGGGTCATTGACAAAGAGGAAGACCCCCAACAAGATAGATTGATAAAGTAGCAGTAGCAATGGACTCCAGTGAAACGGTTATGAGGATGGATGGCACAGGACTGGACTGTTGCATTGTGTTTTGCGTAGGGTCACTCTTGAGTGGGAAGTGACTCAGCCGCCACCTAACAACTCTGAATACTCCTGCTTTTCCCTTCCTGCCCCAGGTACAGCTGCTCAGAGGAGATCCTGACAGTGGCTGCCATGCTGTCTGTCAACAACTCTATCTTCTACCGGCCCAAGGACAAGGTCGTCCATGCTGATAATGCCCGCGTCAACTTCTTCCTCCCTGGTGGAGACCACCTAGTTCTACTCAACGTTTATACACAGGTCACTGGGCTTGGGTGATTGGGAATGAAGGTGTGGGGGACTTTAGCCCCACTGTATGTGCAACCCCACTTTTTAACCTCTTCACAGTGGGCGGAGAGTGGCTACTCCTCCCAGTGGTGCTACGAGAACTTTGTACAATTCCGATCGATGCGCCGAGCCCGGGACGTGCGGGAACAGTTAGAGGGGCTCTTGGAGCGCGTGGAAGTTGGTCTCAGTTCTTGCCAGGGGGACTATATCCGAGTACGCAAGGTCAGCATTTCTTTAGTCTACTGTTCTGCACCTAGTGTCTCCAAAGGAGCAAGCTACTCAGGAGATGGGGAACATATAGCAATCCGTCCAGCCAAGAGTGCCCCCTCACCCCTGCTGGAAAATGTGTTCTCCTCACGCTGTCCCTCAGACCTCTGTAGGGTGGGTGGTTCTCATTGGGTTCTGCAGTCATAACTTTTGAGTTCTCGAGAAGCCTGCACTAAGGTGGTGGTGTTAAGTACCATTCAGTCGGTTCCACTCGTAACAACCCTGTATAGGATTTCCGAGGAGCAGCTGGAGGGTTTGAACTGTCTACAGGTAGTGAGTGGTAATGTTTGGCTCTTCCATTGTTTCTATCCTGTCTGCTCCATAGGCCATCACTGCTGGATACTTCTACCACACAGCACGGCTGACTCGGAGTGGGTATCGCACAGTGAAACAGCAGCAGACAGTGTTCATTCATCCCAACTCCTCCCTCTTTGAGGAACAGCCACGATGGCTGCTCTATCACGAACTTGTCTTGACCACCAAGGAGTTCATGAGACAGGTGAGGGTACCATCATCCCCTGACCAGGCCAGTGGTTTATGTGGGGACATGGTTATCCTAGCAACCTAAGAATCCAGTTTCAAGTTGCTGAGACTGGCAGGAAGAGAAACAGGAAAATACATTTTGGTTTAAATAGGGTAAAATAGACTTCTCTGATAACCACCTCAGCATCTTCAAGATCTGATGCGAGCTAGTGGTGAACCCTGCAATTAGAGCTCTGCCCTCATAGGATATACTTTGTAGTCTTTAGATTCCAGGGTTTTCTTAGGGGTGATTTACTTGGCACTTTGAATAATACTTTGAACTAAAGACTATGTAAAGTAGAGGTGTCTTAGCCTTGGTTATAGTAATATAGGTAAGTAAGTCCCTTTTCCCTGTAGTCAAAAGGGAAACAATACAAGTTTTCAATCATATTCACTAAAGAATTTATGTTAGAAAAAAGGAAACACAACCAATCTTTTCTTTCCCCCCCTAGGTATTGGAGATTGAAAGCAGTTGGCTTCTGGAGGTGGCTCCCCACTATTATAAGGCCAAGGAGCTAGAAGATCCTCATGCTAAGAAAATGCCCAAGAAAATAGGCAAGACACGAGAAGAGCTAGGATAAAGAGAGGAACATAAGCAAACCCTCACCCAGCTTCTCATTTTTCTGTATATTATTTAATATCTATTAAATAAAATTATTTTTGGAATAAAGCTTATAGGAGGCTTTCGGGATTCAAAGAAAGTGGCATATAGGAAACCTCTCATATAGTCACTTTATTATTTACAAATTAAATTACACAGCAACTTTACACAGCATGAGATGGAAGGAAAGGAAAAGAGACAGAAGAGGTGTGGAGTCCTGAGATCTCGGCTGCCTCAGTCTTCTCTTGTGCGTCACAAAGTCTTCAGTGCTGCCTTCACCTCGGTTCACCATTAGGCCTTGGGATACAAGTGTAAGTTAGGTTCTGGTTCCGGTTCTGATAGCCCCAGGGTCACCAGGGCTCCCACCAGCAGCTTCTTCACAGGCGTTGGGGGTGAGTGTGAAGGCATCAGCTGCAGGGAGAAAAGTTAACAGGAGATGAGGAGCAGTTTGCAGATGTTCTACCTTTTCTCTCCCATCCCCCCTAGGACTCACTTTATCTAGGTGATGGCGACAAATGAGGCCATTGGAATTCAGGTAGAAGGTAGAATAGGCATCATAGGTCCTGGAGAGGGAAGGGAGAAATGAGGGTGACTGAGGGGGGAGGTGACTAGTCCCAAAGCTTAATCCAAGCATTTGTTTAAACTAGTACTTAATCTTTGTTATGTGGGAGCTCCAAAGAATTCATGGGAAAATTCCACTATCTTTTCCACGAATTCTGAAGCCCTCTTGTATATTTTAGACCATCTTGGGAATTTACAAAGATCGTGATACCCTGGTTGCAACTGTCTAGCACCAGTATTTCTAAAAGGTGTCTTAGACATGCCACGGCAGTAAAATTTGGGAACTGGTGATTTAAATATACACACTGTTAAGAGGCTGAGCCTAATAATTTTTGAAATTCTACTGTCAGAAATTTACCAGGTACTTTACCTAAGGTTGTGAGGCTCAACTCAGCAATTCTCATTTGTTCAGTATGTATTTGAGTATTCACAGTATGTCAGGTAATGTACATAGGGGAAAAAAAACAAAGTTCAAAAAATTCCTATTCTTTTTGTTATTATTAGACTAATAGAAGATCCCTGCCTTTAAGGAAGTCTAGCTCAGGAATCGTCTGGGGGATGAGATTATCATGTTCCTAAATGGGAAAATAGGAAACTGATTGTAGTTTGGGTCCTTTCTCACTTCTCTTACCGATAAAGCTCATCCTTGTCACGCTTGTAGAAACGCAGAAATAGCATGTGGATGGGTAGCCCCACAAGCCGCCAACGGGCTTGTAGAGTCCAATTTTCAGGGTGGCGGGTCAGCTGTAGAACCTCCAACTGAAGTTGTGCAAAATAGTTCCAGGCCAGGAAACGGCAGAGGGTCAGTGATAGAATGTACCATGCCCGGCCCCTATAAAAGGATGGAAAAGAAGCCTCATCATGGCAGAATCAGAAAACTGGTCTCTGTGCAAGAAATGGGGAGCAGCTGTGAAAAGCAGCCTAGGATTTTTGAGAAGTGGAAAGGATCTGGTACATAGTATTGAGCCCTTTCCTCCCCAAGGCCCTACCAGTGCAGGCTCTCACTTGGTACGTATGTTCAGGATCTCATTGATGAATTCCACATCGGATGAGTAGAGTGTGTAGTCATGGGAATAAAGGAAGAGGTTGGGAAGCTAGGCAAAAGAAGAAGGTGTGAGCCCAATGTGAAAGACAAAAGATCCTATTTCTGAGTTTTCTATTTTTAGTGCCCCCTCCTCATCCTCTCTTGAGTGAAAGCTCATCTCATCCCATTTTTAACCTTCCATCTGAGGAGTCCTGGTAGCATAGTGGTTAAGTGCTAGGCTGCTAATCAAAGGGTCAGTGATGCACAAGAGACATGGCAGTCTGCTTCTGTAAAGATGCCCTGTTGGAGCAGTTCTACTCTTTTACGGTTGCTGAGAGTTGGAATCAACTCAATGGCAATGGGTTTAACCCAAACTGAAGAGCATCTTTTCCTCAGGAAAAAGTTTACAATGCAGCTGCCTCCTGGTTCCATGAAAGAGCCAGTTAATGAACCCATTTCCATTATTCCTATAGCCCTCCCACTGAAGGCAAAGGCCACTTTCACAGTAACTTACCTCTTGTCTCAGTCTTTCATACATGACAGCCAGGTGCTCCTCCATACTTTGGTCCCCTGATGGAGTGGCAGGGGAAGGGTGGGCAGTCCCAGGGGCTTGGAAGGGCATTAAAGCCCCAGGATAGGGGCAAGGAGGTCCCTCAAAGAGGTGTCTAAGCCCATCCAGGCAGCCCCTGTACAACTCAGGTCCTGGTCCCTCCTCCACAATTTCTGGAGGCCGGATCACCCACGGTGAGTGGGGGACCTGATTTTGAGGGAGAGGTAATGGAGGAGCCTGGGGAAGTGGCAGAGTAGAAGGGGATGGGGGCGACCAGAGAAGGGGAGAAGATGGAGAAATGGTTGTTGTGGAGTGGGGCCAAAGTGGTGGGAATGGTAGCACCCGTGGGGAAAGCTGGTCCTAAGAATGAAGAAAAGGGAAAAAGAATTCAGCTGCCTAATGCCTCTTCATTCAAGTTCTGCTCACTGTTTCCTATTCCCATCTGCTTCTCCTGACAAGAGAGAAAGGGATGGATTTATCTCCATCTCCACCGAAACAGGAATTCCATGTTACACAGGAATAAAAACCAACCCCAAACCTTAACAAACACATTTACATTTAAGATTCCAGCACTGTTTTGGGGGGATAGTTTCACTTCTCATAGGAAGAAGCCTATTATATGAGGGAGCTTCAAAGAATTCATGGGAAAATTTCATTATTTTCTCATTTCACTTTTTTTTTTTTTATCCATACGCTTTTTGAAGGCCCTGGTAAAAATACATGTTTGATGACCGAACCAAAGAATGAATAAAAATAAAAGGCTTTATCATACTGTGGATGAAATGATGTGGCCTACAGCACAACTCCACAAATAGCAAATATTACACAGAGAAAAGAATACAACTGGAGCCAAGGCAATTTTCTGGGAGCTCCAATTGGGGCATGCAGCCCAGCCCTAAGCATTCTTTCTCTATTCTATGCCTGTTTCCTATAAATGTCCCATAAATTAGGATGATAAAGCCTCACTAGATTATTACGAGATAATGAATGCGAATAAAACTTGACAACTTGTAAAATCGTATATAAATGTAAGCTACTCTTCAGTTCCAGCCCCGCCAAGGGACGCAAGTCACCCAGGTGACAGTTAAAGGCTGGGCTTCCTTCTCTCTGGTCATCTACACTGAAAACTGAGAAGGGGTGAAACAGAACAAACGCATTGCCATCGAGTCAATTCCGACTCAGAGCGATCCTGATGTCGGGTTACCGAGATTAAATCTTTATGGAAGGTAACAGCCTCAGCTTTCTCCCGCGGTCTGCCGGTCGGTTTGAACCACCGACCTTGCGGTTAGCATCCTAACACTTATCCCACGGCGACGAAAAGAGGTCACTCAAATCAGGCCTGATCCGAGTCCCGCTGCTCCCCAGGAAATCCCAGAGTCTCACTCCGGGGAAGGCAGACGGCCTAGCAGGTACCTCTGTCGCCGACGGTGTCCCCGAGGCGTCGGCTCAGCCGGAGGCGTGGCCATCTTGCCCACCAGGGCGCCGGGACCCGAACCGGGTCACCCGGGCCGGCTGTGCTGCCAGGACCGCTATCCAGATGGAGGATGCACAGGTTGCAGAGTACGGTCCGCATGTCGGGTGGGACCCAAAGGGTTTCCAGGGTGGCGCCGCAGACGGGCAGGGAACCTCTCTCTCCACCCCATGACTGCCCTTCAAATCACCTCCAGCCTCAGGTAAGCGCAGACCCGGGTGCAAGAGGACGCGCCCCGTTATCCCAGCCTTGACTCCGCCTGTCCGCTCCCACACCCCCGAGAACCGACGTCCGGCGTGTGTCAGACCCCCAAGCCCCGGACCCCGGGCCTCGAGCCCCTCCATGCGCCGCCCGGCACAGGTGGGAAAGGGCAGTGAAACGCTGCTGCGCCTGCGCGGAGGCGGGGCGCTCTCTGGCCCACGCGCCGGCTGAGGGTCTCTCCCCGCCCCCTCCCCTCCCCGCCTGCAGTCTTTTACCTGGGGTCGAGCTTGGTAGGCGCGGAGGCTTGGGCCGAGACGCCTGGCCACCCCACGACAGGGCTGGTACATGATCTTCCGGGAGTGAAGAGTGCTTCCCGAATCCAGCCCCCGGCCTCTTTACAGGGGTGAGCGCGCCCGGGAGCCGGCTTCGTGAAGGGGAAAGGGGGGGAGGGGGAAGGGGCTAAGGGGAGGGAAAACGGAGATGTTGTGCGCTTGCGCACAGCAGGTTCTAGAGGCGCTTTTGCGTTCAGTGTGCAGCAAGTGCGCCTGCGCTCGCCGAATTCGACGTTGCCCTAGAGCGCCTGCGCAGCATATTATCACCGCGGAGTACTGCCCTCCCATCTGTGGCTGTTAAACAAGCGCAAAATATGAGCGAAGATGGGACGAAGTGAGAGATTTGTGAAATTGAAATAACAACAAACTTTAGAATGGCTCTCGTGATAAAAATAAATACTTTTATTAGTCTGGTCAAAAAATGACATATTATATGAAGCCTGCTGAATGAATGAGTCCATCCATCCATCCATTATGAGGGCTGAGCTTGGCTGTCTCCTGTGGCGTGGGGAAAATACTGGCTTTGATAGTTTGAGAGGGAGCTGTGGTCGGTCACCAAGGCCTGGTGCTGCGACGTTCCTGCAGGTTTCGAATAAACCTGGCGTTGAACTGGTCCCCACCCACTCTCCAAGATGAGGCAGGTGGGTCCTGAACCTGTAGGGGCACTGTGTGCATGGATTCCTCCCCAGACCCATCATGTGACAGGACCTGCTCCTCACTGGCAGACCTGGGAGGTGGAGAAAGGGTTATAGAACTAAACAGCTAATTAAGATCACAGGCTTCTCTAATCTGTCTGGCTTTTAGATGTCAAGTTTTGATGCTGAGGAGGGTATATGATGGAATATAAGGTTGTAAAACCGCTAGTGCTATGTCCAAATATGAAGACCCTTAGAAAAAGCCACAGGGAAGCACAGGAGTTGATATTATGGAGAAAGAGTCTAGGATGTTAGGGGAATTTGTGGGAGGAGCTGGTGTCCAGTTGAAAGTAAGATTTAGGAGGAGGAAGTGGTTGAGAGTGATGTTAGGAAAGGAATGAGGTGTTGGGAGGCATGTGTTCTTACAGCACGTAGGAGAGGGGTTCACACCTCACCTATTCTCTGTTTCCTGTTCCCCCTGCTTTGACTCTTGCTTGCCTGTGGAAATATCAGGCATGTGCATGGGACAGTTGGAGTAGGTAGTAAATGTCGCCTACTTGGTTGTGGGTAAGGAGGGATGAATACTTACCTGTGTTGAGGGATGAGGAATTCAACCCCCAATGGCGGCTGTAGCAGCAGCTTTGGGCTACCAACCCTGGGGGAGTTCCCCTGTAGAAGAAATGGGAGATGATGGGAAGAGGTTCCAGGATGAAAGGTGAGTGGATATGGAGAATTCAGAGGAGAGGAATAAAAGGAAAAGCACAGGAACAAAGATCGTAATTATGGGGCTCTAAGCTGGACCGTGAATAAGGAACACCGTAGAAGAATTGATGCCTTTGAGTTATGGGGTTGGAGGAGAATATTGAAAGTGCCATGAGCTGCCAGAAGAACCAATAGATCCGTTTTGGAAGAAATGCAGCCCGAGTGCTCCTTGGAGGCCAAGATGGCCAAACTTAATCTCACATACTTTGGACATATTGTCAGGAGGGACCAGTCGCTGGAGAAGGATATGCTTGGTAAGGTGGAGAGTCAGAGAAAAAGAGGAAGACCCCCAATAAGATGGATTGGCCAAGTGGCAGCATCGATGGCTTCAAGCGTGGCAACAATAGTGAGGTTGGCCCAGGATCAGGCACTGCTTCGTTCTGCTGTGCATCGGGTCACTAAGAGTCGGTACTGACTCGATGGCACCTAACAACAACAACAAGCTATACCACAGAAATGGGAAGGGAGCTCATTTCACACCACAAGAGTCTCTGGAGCAGTCCTGATTTGTTACTTTATTCTTTTTAGTTTAAAATACGTGTTAAATGTATAAATATAATCCAAATCATGTCCTAAAAACAGACTCATATATATACAAAAAATAATTTGTTGGACCAAGTGCTCTGAGGTTTGGTTTGTGAAACATGGCTACCTTATTATACCTCAGATCAGAAAGGAAATGGGGACTGATGAGGCTGAATTTAGGAATAAAAGGGAAGGAGCCTTTGGCATGGTGACAGATTGTGTAAGATGTCTGATGGAGGTAAGGGATTGTCTAAAGAGAGATCCAAGGAATTAGAGAGTGACGAACAGGAAACTTTAAAGAGTAGGAAGAGGAATCCAGGGAGCAATCGAAAATAGGTAGTAGATTCCAGTGATGTTCGTAATTTGTGACATATCAACGAGGGCTGGTCCAGGAAAGACTGGAGATTCCTGGTGGGAACAGGTGAATAGATCATCTGGAAGCCTACACTGAAGGTGTGGGATTCGGCAATTACATGAGAGGAGACATGCAGAATTCGCAGAAGGTTCAGCAGTGAAGATGGGGATGGGTGGACAGCAGCTGTTTGGTAGAAGATTGTCAGATATCAGAGGTTCAGAAGATGAAAGGAGCAAAGGCTCTGAGATACCAGGAAACCAAAGGACGGCGCACAAAAGAGGCTGAGACCTTGAGTTGGCTTTGTTTTTTTTGATGGTTCTTTTCATTGAAAATGTCTGTTTAAAAAACACAAAAGAATTCACACTTTATTCAGACAACACTGAGTAGGAGAAGAAACAGGAGGTGTGATGGGGAGTGAGGGAGATCCTGCTCCCAAGGATTTGGGGGGGACACAGTGGTAGGGGTACTTGATCTACGACACATTCAAAGGGAAAGGATGCACTACACCCTGGTGGAGCAGGGAAGGAGGTCCTTGCTATGGAGAAAAGAAGAAAGGAAGCCAGAGGAAGAATAGGTCCTCCTCATTTCAAACAATCTCACATGACAGGAATACATCAGCATCTAGCTACTAGAGAGGGATGGATGTAATACGGATTCCAGATCTAATAGATCCTTGAGACCAGGTTTATCTTTCGAAACATGGTCAGGCATGCTTGCTGGGATCTACTGCCAAGGAATAAACTCCCTTTGAGAATGGATCTGGGGGAAAGGGTGTTGTCAGCAAGTTTCCCCAAGCAGACATCGGCTTGGGAGATTCCCTGACAGTTATACAAATTGTGGAAATGGAAGAGTTTGGCAATATTAAATGGATCCCTTTGGGGAGCTGGTAATTTCTGAACGTCCCTGCCCTAACTAACTTCTGATGAACTCATTGGCTGGTGTGAGCAAGCTGAAAGGACAAGTGTGTGGTGGTGGGCAGCACAAAACAGTATTGGAGCTCCCAATAGACAGTGGAGAGAGAATATGGGATTTCTTCCATGGACAATACTCCTTAAAAGATTTCCCTGGCAGAGGAAGCCCTTGGACCTTCCATAGTGTTTTAGTCTGACAGCAAACCAAGAGTGTGCTTCTCTGGGTAGTTAGTATAAGCCGCCCAACTAAAGGGTCTGGCAGCAGATTTGGCTGTAGGGAGTGTTGTGAGTCCAAGTTAAGAGAAAAGGGATGCTTTCTGTAGTAAGAAGGGCTGCGAAGTATTAGGACATTTGGGATCCCGACAACCCAGTTATCTGAGAAAGGGGAAGAGGGAATCCTATGGGCGGTGTCAAGTTTCTCTGAGTCCTAGGGGATGCAATGTAAGAATGGACCTGGGGTCCTCAGGGAGGGATCGCTGCCCAACCCTGGTCTCCCATGGAAGGGGGGTAGCTGTCTGTCAGTATCGACTCTCATCAGAACGGGGAAGGGAGCTGTGAAAGGATGTTATGGACAGGATGGAGGGAGCAGGAAAATGGGGGAGAGAGAAAAACAGAAAGAGCAGTCAGAGGTTAAGAGAAAGCTAGGGAGAGAATTATAGGAGACACCTGCTCCCTGCCTGCTGGGATGGGCTCTTGACATACCAGCACAGACATGAAGCTACTGGCTCCCCAATCTGGGTCAGAGACACTGCCCCCCACCCAGCAAGTGTTAAACCAAGACTTCCCCAATCTTAGAAGGCAGAGTTCTCCACCACCCACTGAGTCTGTGTTCCTCCTAGTCTACCCACTAACTCTCATTTTAAAACTAGAATCCTTGGGATCCACATACGGGTCACATTCTGCTCCTTCACTGTAATCTATTTCCAGATGACTTCCAAACATTTTTCTTGAAAGGTTTTAGGACTCTCCAGTGCAGCTGCCCTACTGCTCCAGGTCTCTGACAAATTCAAATGCTCTTTGTCATTTTTCATATTCTCTTTGGCAGTCTGAACACTCCCCAACCCTATTACCTGGTGCGGCGACGTTGGGCTGGGCTGCCCCCAGGATCAGTAGCAAGCAGTAGGCGCGCAGTAGGATGTGGGGGGCAGAGACGAAGGGACCGCAGCAGCTCCTGCTCTGGCACAAAAGGACGGAGGGGACCCCGTTCTGGCGAATTTCCCAGGCTGCTGGAGCGGGGAGGTGGGTGAGCTGGAGGTGTGGTGCGGCGTGGGGCCCTGTTTAAGGGCCACGGAGGCTCCACAGCTACCTTCAGAACTGAGGGAGAGGGAGAGTAAGAGCAAGACAGACAAAAGAGAGGGAAGGCAGATATCAGGTCATGACAGCAAAGATGAGGGCAGGAAAAAAGAGAAAGAGAACAAATCCTTCCCACAGAGCCCCAAACATTCCCTTCCTTTGGGTTCAGGCCCCTCAAACCCCCTCGTCCTTCCAGTCCCTCTTACATTCTCGGTCACTAGAGGAGTAAGGCTTGATGTCTCCCTCTGTTCTCTTGGGTGGCAGCTTCCTTACTGGAGCTAGTGGTGGAGGGAACATAGGGAAAGTCAGAATTAGAAGAAATTGAAGACATATTTTGTTCCTTTCCTCCTTGCCACGACACCCCACAACCCCAAATCTCTGTTCCCTGACCCCCAGTTCCTTCTGGGGAAGGAGAGTAGTTCAGCTCCAATGCACAATCAGCTCTGTGGTGATGCCAGCCCACCAAAAGGGATTGTAGTAGGGCTGCTGGAGTACTTTTGAGGAGAGCCACAATGAGTAGGCCAAACACAGAACTGAGGAAAAGCTCAAAGGGGAGACTGCTGGAGAAGGGCAGCCCAGGAGAGGTGAGCTCTTACTGACAGTGGGTGCTGCCAGCCCCCCCTGGGATTCTGAGACTGTGCAATGAGAACCGTGGGTCCCTCTAGATGACACGGACAAAACCCTTGGTTAATCAGAAAGTCTTTGGAAAGGTGAGGGGAAGTTGGGACAGGACAGAACCTCTCCTTGCTGTGCAAAGATGGAAAGAGATGGAAGTTTTCTTTAAAAAAAAAAAAAAAAAGAAAAGTAACAGACATCTAAAAGGAGTTATTAGAGTAAACAGGATGGTACCGTACAAAACTCAGCCTCCCCTTTCTCACTTCTCCATTTACTCCCACCCTTCTTTCTCAAGAGGTTTTCTATCATCATCTGGCAAATGGGTGGCCTCTCAGCTAATTCCTTATCACCACTCCCTTGCCCTGTGGACCAGAGTCCTGTGCTGGCCATCTCTCCCCAGCCTTGTTAGTACTCACTCCCTCTCAGAGCTGCAGGTCAGCAAGAGCTAGAAAGCGGAAACCTAGGAAATCAAAGTCAGTCATGGAGACAGAGTGCTTCTCAGCGCCTAACACTCATAGACATTAGTAGCTGGTAACACTAGTCCCTGTCCTGACCACAGATTTAAAGCTAACCACAAAGCCAACTCTCAGGAAGAGGGCACGTCTGTGCAAGCAAGCAGTGCACAGCCAGCAGAAGGAGGATGTTCTAATCCACCTTTGGGACACAGTGAAGAAGAGCAAGAAATGAGGCTCCGCTGGGCAAGGAGTAGATCTGTATGTATGAGAATTAAAGGGGAACCTGGGAAACATTTTAATATCTCATGTTCGGTTTCCTCAGATCAACTTTATTATTTGATTGAAAATGTTATAAAAACCTGATGAGTTATCTTCTGAAATGAATATTTAAACTTTAGACCATTCACATTACTATGCCTGTTGCCCGTTCTATGAATGGAAATGGAAACAGTATATGCAATTCCTCATAGATTAAGAGAAACCTGAAGGGTTTATAAAAGAGCATGTTGTTGTTGTTGTTAGGTGCCACCGAGTCAGTACCGACTCATAGCGACCTTATGTACAGCAGAACGAAACACTGCCTGATCCTGGGCCAACCTCACTACTGTTGCCACGCTTGAGTCCATGAGCCTGGACTATTTTGTTGGACCTGAAACAGCAAGAGGCTCCGCTGACATCAATGATGAAGTAACTCTCCATGAACTTGCTTAGTTAAAAGTCTTGCCAGCTGTAAAATGTACTGAGCTCCCATGAGGGCAAAGACAACGAGGTCATGACTGCTGGAGACTTGGGTTACTTTAGAATTCTCCAAAAGTGCCTACAGACAGCATTGTACTCCCCGCTGCCTCTAGAGTGAGCAGCCATCACTGCACTATGGCTCCACCCATTCATTGCAGGTTTACCAGCGGGCGTGTGATCCAGCGCAGCAGCACGAACATGTCGAGCTGCCCTCAGAGAGAAAGCAGGGGGCCCTGTGAGGAAGGAAGCAGTGGTGCCCCTCAGTGAACGGGCCAGTGGGACGGAGAGTCCACCTCATTCTTTCCCCTCACCCCAACTACGTGGCCAACAAAAGAAGAAGCAACTTACGATGTTGATGGGCAAAGAAGCCTTCAAAGATCACAAAGTTGTTCACCTAAAAGATGAAACCAGCAAATTACAGCTGTTATTCAGCCACTCAGCATATACTTGGATACAAACACTGTGCTAGAAAAAAAAAAACACTAGGAAGAACAAAATCTTCTTGTTCCTTGGTGGCAGGTCATCAAAAACCTTGAACAGCATGATGAAAATAATTAATGCCATTGAACTGTACATATGAGGATTACTGACAGATTTTATTATCTATACACTTAAAATAATAAACATAACTCCAGACCCTGACAAACTGACCCTAAAGTGCATTTGAATCATCAAAACAATTTTGAAAAAGAAATACAAAATAGGAGAACTCACTCCCCAGTTTCCAAACTTACTACAAAGATACAGTAATCAAAACAGTGTGGTACTGGCATAATGATAGGCATAAAGATCAACAGAAATGACAGCACAGAAATAAGCTCAATGATTTTCAACAAAGGTGCCACAGCCATTCAGTAGGCAAAGGGTAGTCTTTTCAGTAAATGGTACTGAGACAACTGGATTTCTACTTGCAAAAGAATGAAGTTGGACCTCTACTTCTCATATCATATACAAAAATCGCTAAGTTAGACTTCATCAAAAATACTTTTGTGAAAAAAAAAAAAATGCTTTTGTGCTCAGACGACATTATCAAGAAAGTGAAAAGACAATCCACAGAACAGGAGAAAATATTTGTCAAATATACGTCTAATAAGCATGTAATATCTCAAATGTATTAAAATCTCTTACAACTCAACAACAAAAAAGACAGAATACAATTTTTAAATGGGAAAAGGATCTGAATACCTAGGATATATACAAATGGTCAATAAGCACATGAAATATAGTCATTAAGGAAGAAAAATAAAACCACAATGATACCACTTCACAAACCCTAGGATGGCATTCAGGAAGAAAAAAAAAAAAAAAGGAAAATAACCAGTGTTGGCAAGGATGTGAAGAAATTGGAACTCCTGCACTGCTGGTAGGAATATAAAATGGTTCAACTGCTAAGGAAAACAGTTTGGCAATTCCTCAAAAACTTGAACGTAGAATTACTAATGACCCAGCAATTGTATTCCTATGTATATAACCAAGAGAAGTTAAAACATATGTTCAAATAAAAACTTGTAGACAAGTAAATGTTCACAGCACCATAATTCAAAATAGCTCCAAAGTGGATATGATCAAACATCCATCAACTGATAAATGGATAAACAAAATGTGCTATATTCACACAGTGGAAGAAAAAGGAATGACGTACTGACACGTTACAACACAAATGGGCCTTGAAAACATTATGCTGAGTGACAGCAGTCAAACACTGCCACATATGATATGATTCATTTATACGAAATGTCCAGTATAGGTAAATGCATACACACACAAAGTAAATTAATGGTTGCCAGGGGCTGGGGGAGGGGAGCAGAGGGAAAAAGGAGAGAATTGGGGGTGGGTACTTAATAAATTTGGGGTTTCTTTTGGGGTGATAAGAATACTCTGGAATTAGTGGTAATCGTTACACAACACTGTGAATGTAAGATAAAACCAAAGGACTGTATACTTTAAAATGGTGATATTTATATTATTTGAATTCTACCTCAAAAACAAACAAGCTCAGACCTTGCTTTGAGGGTCTCCCAGGACCCAAATGGAAACAGAGTTTAGAAAGCATCAGGGAAAATGAGGCATCCCAAACTTCCAAATAAACATATATTAATAAGGCCAAATAATATAAAGTGTACAAAAAGTAAGGAAAACAAGAATTAAGCAGGGTTCAAATGAGTGAGACTAACAAAGGGAAGACATGCTGGAGGACAAGGCACTGCTCTGAAAACTGATCATTTTAGAGAGGTTTCACTATACTATCCCATTAGATTTGGCCTCCACAGTAAATGCTTTACTAACTATCTTGAAGATGAGTAAAAGGCAGGCTTGGAGGCATGGCTTACCCAAAGCCAACAGTGGCAAAGCTGGGCTTTAAGCCCCCAATTTCTGATTTCTAACTGCAGTGTTTCAGCCAGTAACACAGTAACCCTTGAACAGGCTATGGGTTCAAATCTGGACTCTACTACTTATTCACTATGTGACGTTGGTCAAACTACTAATCTGTATGTATATATTATTAACCCAAAAAGGGTTAATAATAGAATCTGCCTCAGAGACATAAAAAGATCAAATGAGATGGTGCATTCAGATACCACACACAGTTCATGAAACCACAAAGAACATAAAACAGTAGTTGTTCTTTGTACTCTATACTTCTCTGGTATTACGTGTTAACTAGGTATTGTGTTTGATGCCAAATACTATGCTTCTTCCATTGCTCTGTGCTGCCTCGTAATGCAGTAACGTACGGCAAAGAATATTCTAAATAGACTTTGCCTACTTCCTGCCTCGATTCTGCTGTATGTCTACCAACCCATCACCCTCCCCAATAAGCACATACTCACCCAATGAAAATGCTTGCAGGGACCTAGAAATACTGGGTGGTTTAAGAACTTTATGCCTTTGTTCACGTGGACTCCTCTACATGAAATGCACGTTCACTTCTGTTCACCTGACCACCACTCATCCTTCAAGATTAAACATAAATCAAACCTTTCTTTACCTATCTTCCACACTGAGTTATCACTTACCACCTTGTCCTTGTGCTCCTCTGTAATTACTTCTAGCAAGTTATGTTTTGATGGATTAGGTGTCTATGTACCTCTCTGAATCTAACTTGACAAATAAATCCCAACTCCTGCCCACTCAACAACATAGCTCCAGCAATTCTCCTTACTTTCTCTGGTATCACTGGATTTTTCTCTCTTGAATTATTCTCTGTTGGTTGTGAGTACTTCTATCTAAAAAGAATCAACTCACTTTTGATCTACTTTCTCCTCTAACTTTTTGATGTAATTCTCTGCTCTGCTGAAAGCAACATTTAAGAGAGTTGTCTGTTATTGCTGTCTCCAATTCCTAACTTCATACTCTCCTAAACCTACTCCATTCAGGCATCCATCCTAACACCGCATCAGCCACTCATCGGGATCACCAGTGGCCTAAGGAAAAGGAAACTAAACCCACAGTTACTTCACAATTGTTGGCTTACCTCATTGGTCAGCAGCATTTGCCTCAGAATGCCATTGCTCTCCAGTATGCCCTGGAAACATTTTCTTCACTTGCCTTCCAAATCACCTTACTTTTTAAATTTTCATTTGCTTCATTAGTCACTCCGTCGCAATTGCTGCTTTTTCCTCTCCTCTCGATCTCTCTTTCTTTTTTTTTAAGTTTTCAATGTGAATTGAGTGATAGTTTACATGGGAGAATACTGGTTTTATATTCACCATTTCATTGCAATGATTACAATGTCCTCCTTGCATCATTCAACAGTATTTGCTTCTATTCCCTCTACGATCTCTTAGAGTGCCCAAGTTCTCAAGTTCTTGGACCATTTCTCTATATATACTCTCTTCCTTGGTGATATCATTCTGTCTCATTGTTTTAAAGCCCATTCATAGACTGAATACTTTCCACCCTAAACTTCTTCCCCGAACTCTGAGAAAGTACTCATCTGTCTACTGAACCTAGACATACACAAACATCTCCAACTTAACATTCTCAATGGACTCCTAGTATTTTCCCAAAATCTGCTTTACGCTTCACTTCAATCAATGCAACTCTAACCTTCCAATTACTCAGGCCAAAATATTTACAATCTGACCACTCCTTACCAATGCTAACACCCTTGTCTCAGTTACCACTAATTTTCATCACGTTTAGTGCCTCTTAAGTGGTCTACTTGCTTCTACCCTTGCTCCCCATTGTCTGTTCTTCCTGTCTGAAAGCAGAAAAATGCCAAAGTGGCCTTGTTAAAAATAAGTCTCTCTTGGAGAGAGAACAAACAAGATGGCGGATTGGGTAGACGTGCAGTAAAGAGCTCCGTCAGCAACAACACAGAATACACAGGACCAAGCAGGCTCAAGGGATGGTCCCAGAACTCTGAACCACGTAAAAAGGAATATTTAGAAGGTTAGAAGGCTTACAGCTAGGGGAATTTGTAGCAGAAGCAAGAAATCCATTGCTTTCTGAATCAAGATGCTCAGCTGCTCCAAGAACCTCCATTTTGGGTGAGACCAAGCGGGGAAAGGATTGGAACAGCCACGGATGCCTGACACAGAGATAAAGGTGTGGACATTCTTTTTTTTGGTATCTATTCATTGGTCCCTTGCTCTCTG